ATGAAATCTGGCTTATTCCATTTGCAGCTTGCTAATACATGAGATGTATGAAAATTCAGCATTTGCCCACAATGTAGGGTAGGTTAATGTTCTATATGTTGACATAAGTTTTTTTTACTAGGAACATATTTTCTTTTTTTGTCATATGCTTGGCATTTTCTTCTAGAACTTTTGCTTGGCAGCTAAAAATATTTTCCTGAAGGAGAATATTCTCCTTGGTTTTTCAGACTGGTGGAGAATTACTCCCCGTATAGGAAACACGTAGCGATATTTCCAGAAGTTTTAAATTATTACTCTGGTACAACTTTGTAGATCAAATATTATAGTATACACAAAACAACTTATTTTCCTATAAAGCAGTTTCCCTGGAAATATTCTTCTGGATAAAACAGACATAGATCCACCAAGCTAAGCTACGACTTCGCTTTCATGGTTTCATTGTTTTCGCAGGGAGGAAAAAGAAATACCTGAACAATACGGACCGATGTTCTATTGTTTGAATTGCCATTAACAGCTCCATAATCTGGGTCACCATTCTCACTGTCAGCCGAAAATATGTTGCTTCCACTCATCTCCTTCAACTTATACCCTGAACAAGGTTTCCTGAAGATATATACCATAATAATAAACACACTGGCCTTGGGTGACAAACTAAGTAGCACGGAAACACGATCAGGAAATGTGAAATGCGAGTAACAGAAATTCTACGAAGTATAGGAATTGAAATACTCTTGCCATTTATAACAGTATAAAACCCCTACCATTTTGCATTCCATTTTTCTAACTTAACTAATGCTACACCAAAATGTGCAAGTTTGGATTTCATAGTTACAGAATACTACCACTACCACTAGCCACCACCACCACCACCACTAATAATAATAATAATAATAGTAATAATAACAACAACAACAACAACAATAATAATACAATAGTAATATCATAAACACAAAGTTCACATACAAACAGAATCCAATCGAACCATTCTTAGACCTAATGCAACATGTCCTTGAAAATGTTATGTTAGGCAGAAAGATTTCCACCGCAAAGAAGATGCTTTAGTTGTTTGCTTCCCATGCAGGACATCAACTAAATACCATCAACAACAAAATGAAATTGGTCTCAAAGAAGATAAAGTGGTTGTGGTTAGTGGTAGAAATTGGATTCAGCAAACTACTTCTGAAGACTGTAATGTAGAAACTTAATAACATCTCAAGATCTCAACTGTTAAACTTTTTGCCATGAAGATAAAAAAAAGATTGAAGCCTGCACTTGTTTTAAAGACATTGAAAATAAAAAGGGAAAACAAACCCAAAATGTTAAAATAATTTTGATTCACCGTAATAGAAATATACAAGGTCCAGATAAAGAAAATCTTCTCTTTGTGAATAACATACAATCTAAGGTAGAAATACAGTAAATTACAGCAACTTTATTAAACCGAATATGTAACTCCTACATCTCATTAATTGCAATCATGGATGAGCTTATCAAGTAAATAGTTAAAAAGGAAAAAAGGAAATGAGATTCTTCAAAGATGTGCTAACAGATCTATCACATACTGAGGTTTTCTAAGAGCTACTAATTATGTGGGGGGGGGGCATGAATGCTTAAGAACTATCCGAACTTAACACACAACAGTACACATGCATCACAGGGTAATGTCGAAACCAAAAATCGCAAGGTAAAGAAGAATGTAGAAACCAAATACATACCTGGAAAAAAATGAAGTGAAACTAAATAATGCAATATTAAATCGGATGTTTTTCAATTAACTCAAATCGGAGAAATTTACCGTTTGTTCAAGCTCTGAGCTTCCTCATCAGTGACCTGACCTCCAAATATAACCTTACCGACTCCATCAGACGGCTAACATTTATAAAATAAGCAAAACCTCAAGTCAGACAGTTGGTGGGGAGGAAAAACATAGCAACGAAATAACGGGAGGAAGCAAGTGCCTGATGAGAGGTACGGGAAGCGGACCGAGAGGCGCTGCCGGGGGCAAGGAAGGAAGAATCGGATGCTGGGACCTCGGACCAGGTGAGAAGATCCGCTGTGGAAGTGTGTGGCTTCCGAACAGGCGTCGCTGCCATTGCCTTGCTTTGAGCTGCGAAGAACGGAGTGGGTAGATAAGAAAGATCACTTTATTTCAAAAACTTAAACCCCACTTCTAGTCTAGTCTTTTATCTCTCTCTGTTGAAGCGGAAATTTGAAACCCCGTCTTCCTTGGACGGACGCTCAACAAACGGGGAAAACGGTAGAAAATGTTCATTGGCCCTTTATTTTTATTTTAAGAGAAAAATTGACATTAATAATCCCACATTAAATTGACATTAATAAGAAAAAGAAGATGATACCGTTTAGATTGAAATGTGTTAACACTGGGAGCACCGTTAAAGTGAAATATAGTGGGTGGGCAAATATTATCAAAGTGAATTGTGTGTTTATTTGGTCTATTTAAAACCTAAATGATCAATATGAAATTGGTGAATAAGTTTAATGTCCTTTTTGGGCCTTCTCCCTTCTCTCTTCCGTCAACTTGTGACCGGCTAAAAAAAGTAAACATTTTATCGCCAACCCACAGACCAAGTTGGAATATCTTCGACCAATACCCGTCTATGGAGTAATAAGAAAATTTGAAAGTTTCAGAATTGGAAGATGGACAGAGAACGACGAAGTTCACGACAGATTTCTACTGGTGCAGCCACTACGTTGATAATAGGTAAATTTTTGAATCCATACTCTCTAAAAATCATTTCTTGATATCCCATTAAATCTGAATCGTATGGCTTGTTGTGCCGCAGTATGTATATTTTATACGATTAAATATTGTGAAAGTTGAGCTAGTTTCCTTAATCATTTAAGGGAAATTTACTAAAATATGACTAAAACTTAATGAGTTTCTAAATATATGACCTAACTAGTTTTTAGACTTATCTATGACCGAAAATCCAAAAAAAAAAAAAAATCTCGTTTCTATTTAAAGGTTGAATGACCAAATTACTCTTATTTAAAATATGTGCATTTTGCACTAATTTCGTCCAATTAAAATTACTGCACTTTATATTATCGTTAATGCACGACATTAATGCACGACTTTACTGCACATCCGGTAATAATCACTGCACTTCCGCCTAAATTAATTCTCTGCTCATTTACTTGAGGAATGTATTTTTAGTTTTTATTTATTGTTTTATAGATTTAATAATTTTATTATTTTATGTTGAATTAAGTATATTGCATTTTATGATGATATTAATTCTTTGTGTTACTGCAATACTAATCATAATCACTGCACACCAATCTTTCTTGATGCATTCATTCACTGCCATGTACAATGTATATATAATATATTACCATATTCTTTGTCATATTCAACAATTATTGCCAGTTCTATGCCAATGTTCAATGCCTATGTTTCATGCCCAAAAATCATAAATTTACTCACCATAATCAACAATATTTATTATCATTTTTACTGCCTATATTTAGTGCACATATTCACTGCCCATGAAAAATGTGATTGTAGTGTAGCATGTAAATCTGTAAATGAGAGGTAAATTCATTCCAAAATGGCTAAAATAGATACGAAGGCATTCATTATAGCTAATACTCTGTATGTAATTGCAATTTGGCCACTCACAAAAAGTGAAGAAAAGAAACCCCAAAACAGATAAAAGTACTCCGTAAAAAATTTGAGCGACAACCTTAGGCCTTAGATCTAATCCCTCGTATCTCTCATTGCGTATCACAAACAGAGCGGAGAGTGCTCACTCTTGAACGCTATCAACGAATCTCTCCACCTCTAGCCTCACACTTCTTTTTCCCGTTCGAATTCGAAATCAATTTATCTATTGCGGATGTCAAACGGTGGCTGAACGGTTGGACGATGGGACAGATCGAAGGAAATCGTGGCCATGAGAAATCGATCCCCAAATCTGCCAGAACCGCCGGAATCAAAGCCTCCTCATCCTAATCTTGTTGATATGGATGAAGATGAGAAAGAGGTTGGATGAAAGAGGCAGACGGTGGCTGGGCGGAGATGGTAGGCGGCTGAGCGGCGATGGTAGACGGCTGGACAGAGGGGCAGGGGAGACCGTACGGCAAGTGGGCTACAACTAGGGTGGGAGAATGTTAGCTTTTATAATGATTAGCTAAGGGCATATTAGTCCATATAAAATATTTAAGTAATTATTTATTAATATATTAATTAAATATTACGAATTTTGATATTATTTTGGGAAAAAAACTCATCAAGTCGTAGATTGAAAAAATGATGGAATTTTAGTCATACCTAGGGTAATTAACTCATCATTTAATATGTCCATTTGTATGGATTATGCACTACGTCCTCGGCTTATACCAAGAACCATCATGGTTCAACATATCAGCCAATCATGGCTACTCAATACCAGAATTCCACATTGCTCTTTCATGCACAAAATGCTCAAGGAAGCACGTTCATCTCACCCACAAAGTGCAAAGGGATGCTTCCACGCATGGGTCTTACTTTGTGTTGAGGTTTAGTCTCGTAGATCCGAAAGCCCAACACACGTTTTGGATATTAAGGACGTTTGTCTTGGTTAAAAGGTGTATAAAATATAAAACAGTGAATTATAACTGAACTCAGAAGCTAACTTATATTACGTAATTCTGTGATTACAAAGAAACTACCCGAACGGTCTGTCGGTATGAGTTTAAATACAAGAACAAGAGAGATGATTTTATTGTTAAGCTCTGAGTATTAAATTGCTAACCGTTTACAATGTATTAAACGTAGGTATTTATACTAGAAGGGGGTAGGTGAGATGAACATGTGGCCGAACCAGGTAGGCTATTACATCTGCCATGAGTGCACCCATGCCTCTACTTGCTACCGCCATACTTTAGTATTAACTGCAGTTTGCCACTTGCTGATCCCCCGGTCGGGTACCCCGTTCGGAGTGCGGGACCCCTTTGTGGGTGTTTTGATGTCAGTCCCCTGTTAATTAGTTCAAGTGGATAATTCTAACCGAATGCTGTTCAGGTATCCCCTGTTCAGCACGTCTTGGACCTCTCTGATTGCGTTGGGCTTCCTGTTTGCCCTGGGCCTTCTTTATGCTTTGGGTCGGGCGTATTGGGCTTGGGCCCAATACCCTAACACAAGTCCCCCACTTCCTATGTCTCGAACAGTTGTGAGTGCATAAGGAAGTAGAAGAACTTTGCCCGAACGCTGCTCGGGTATGTAGCGGACGAGATTTCGCCAGTTCCCGAGGCATAATCTTGAAGGTTTTATGCGGCTGCCGTTTCAATTTCCCGATAACCGTCATGATTACTTGTTGGTGTTTCTCCGCGTGACACGTGTCTCTGTAATCATTCTTGGCGATGTGTCCTCTCCTAATTGGTTGATGAACCGGCATGTCAGGTTTATAAATAAGGCCTTCGTGCTTTGGTTCTGGGTTTCCAAAATTTTCATCCTTCGTGTCGCAGCTCTGTCTTCTCTCTAGAGCTTAGTTCTTGGTAGTGTTCAAGTAACCTTCGCTCCTTGGCTTTTTCTCCCTTCTTGTTCGGTAGATATGTCGCGTCAACCATCCCCCTTCAATCATTCTGTTCCTGAGGTGATCCCTCATGAGGAGGTCCAAGATGACGCTGTAGAGAATGTGGAAAACTCCGGCCATGTTTCCAGCGACGCCTCCTCCTCCAGTACTTACTCGTCACAAGCTTGATCTAACCCTAATCCGGCTACGACAACAGAAGCTCATAGGCCCAAATAGGGCCCAAATCCCAGCTTTGATTCCTGACCCGATGGACTTCCGCCTTCAAGCTGGGCTTCACCCAATGTGTCATTTCCCCGGGATGGTGGTAGTCCATTTGGACTCCGTGAAAGCCGGGCTTAGATTCCCGTTTCACCCTTTTTTCGTTTCTTTATTGAATTTTTATGGAGTGGTGCCGACCCAAATTATGCCGAATTCCTATTGGGCAGTGGCTGGTTTTATATGCCGCTGCGTGGTTGTCAAGGTGACGCCCACCTTATATTTGTTCCACTATTTTTTCTCGGTGATTCCCCACCAGGCCCACGGGTATTTAGTTGTAAGTGCCCGATCGGGCCATATTCTATTCTCCGACGCCCCCTCCTCAATTAAGGGATGGAAAGACCGGTTCTTCTTCATCTCTGTCTCGAACGGTTTGATTCCGAGGAAATGGAATGCCTTCCCGCCGAAGTCTCCAGAGCTATTCATCTCCAAGGAACTCAGCAAAGACGTCCTCGCTGTGGAGACCGGTGGTTGCTACAAAATCAGGGCCTACCTGACCCCCAATCAGCTTATAAAGGTCGGGATAGGTACTGCCCGTATTCCTGGATTTACTTGATCGAACCCAAGTGCCATGGCCCGAGCGGTCCTTCCCGTGCGAGAAACGCTTTGTTTTGTTTCACACACGCTGAAGCCGCTCGATACTAACATTTTCCTTTGTTATTTTCAGCTCTTGATCCAGATGCAAGCCCGGACCCCGAAGGAGCCAACCACCCTCAAGAAGTCATGGATGACAGTAGGCTATTTTCTGTGGGAGGTGGCGATGATGGGGCGCAAGAGAGGCGTGATAATGAACAGAGGAAGAAGCGGAAGAGGTCGAAGAAGACCGTTCAGGCAGGATCTTCTGAGGCCGTTTCGCAAGGTATGGAACAATCCCAGCCTGTTCAGGATGTCCCATCTCAGTCCGTTCAGGACGTTCAGCCCGTCCATCTAGTCGCCTCCGAACAACCTAACATGGCTAACATGCTCATGGACAACCTGTTCGGTCCCGAGCAGTTACAGGAGTTCCCCGAGCACTTTAGCTCTGTTCCGGGTTCCAGTGCAAAAGCCCACCAGGCTGACCTGGTGGGGCGGATCGAGCGGATTTCTTTGGAAGATCCCGCTCATGAAATTCTAGAGCGCAGTGGAGCGATGGCGTCCCGGATTTGGTCCACTGCTGCTTTCTTTAATGGCCTCCCGCTCCCTCAGCTTCCAGTTGAGCAGTCGGAGGAGTGACTTGCCTTGACTGTCCTCAAGGTATTTTCTTTTCATGTGCTTTCCATTTGTGTAATGTTTCTTAAATCGTGTGCTGAGTTTTTGACTATTCTTCAACGCTCCAGATGGGGCTGTACAGCCTGCAAGTGCGAGAGGCCCAGCTAGCTAAGGAACGTGAGCTTATCGTGGCCCAAGAAAATGCTGAGCAGGCCGTCTCTAAGGCTGTCCAGGCGGCCGAGTTTGAACGCCTCTCTTTTGTTGAGGAGCGGAAGAAGCTCAAGGCCGGGCTGGGGGAGCTTCGTGTTCAGGTGGCTACCCTCCAGGCGAAGATTGCGGCTGCTGAGGCCGCACAAATCAAATTCAACGAGCATCCTTCACAGATCCAGGACGGCCCTCCTGAGGTGACTGTGGATCTTTCCTCCGTTCGGGAAGGTTTCAAGACTTCGGAGGAGTTTGCAGCGCTGAAGGAGCAGTATGCCCTTGAGCAGCTTCCTGCCGTTTTTGGGCGGCACCTGGGGAAATTGTGTGGCGAGGCACGCCAGAAGGAGAGGGTCCGGATGCTCGATCAGGATCCCATAGCCAAAGAGTGGGATGAAACCCTTGCCCAGGAGGTTTACTCTGCCGGATGCCAACACATGTTGCAGCCTATTCTTCCCCTTCTTGAGAAGCTCTTAGGTCGAGCAGTGCATCCCTCAGACTTCCTTCACCTGGCTGCCAATCACCTTAATGCTCTAAAGGCCCAGCTAGGCAAGTGCAGGCGAGCTTTGGGGATGGAGTCTAACCAGGTTGCTGATGAGGAGGCTGAAGGTGATGATGATGGTGATGATGACGATGATGAGGATGAAGATGGCCCCGAACAGTAGAATATATTTGGCCCTTTATCTGTACTTCCCTTTTTACCTTCATGCAAATTTTTGTAATTTCCGACCAGTAGAGCCGATGAATACAAGTGGAATTTTTTACCTATCAACTTCATTTGTAGTTCTTTTCTAACTTTTTTGCCTGTGGACTTAGTCATTTTCGTGATTTCTATGTGCTCGATCGATGTATTCTGGCTCAAATAATTGTAGGGTTACCTGTTCAGGACCCCCATCTTGGTAATTCACAGTTACTCTTGTAAAGGTTAGGTCTAATCCCAGCTTTTAGGATTTAGCCGTTTCCCTGGTTTTTTCACTCCGTTCGGGAGTGTATCCTCTAGCCATTGGGTTTTAAGCAAGCTTCACGGATATAAGAAAACCGTTCGGGCAGATCTACCCTTACCCAGGCGCTCTTCTTAGGACAGTCGTTTTTGAACCCTGGTGCCTGTTCGGCCTTCGGACATGATAGAGGTCTTGAGACAAGTACTCGGGGAACACCTTACTACCCGTTCGGGTAAGGAACTAGCAGTCACTAAGCATGTATACAGAGTCTATTCGTTCTCCTAGAAATCTCGATCGTTTGGGATATCCTTATGATGCCGATCAGGTATCTTTACCCTTGGTTGTGGTCGATCTACAACCTGTGTATTTATTTTGAATAGTTTTGGGGTTTACTAGTTTCTTTGCTTTGTTTCCCGTTCAGTGCCTTTGACCGTTTCATTTCTTGCTTGCTACCGATCTTTGGTTTGGATGACCGTTCGGGTATCTCTGTTGCTGGTGATGCCTTAATTGCCCTCAACCGTTTTGTGCCACGTGTTAGCCATCAATTTGGGCTCTTGGCGGCATTTTGGATATTAAGGACGTTTAGTCCCGTAGATCCGAAAGCCCAACACACGCTTTGGATATTAAGGACGTTTGTCTTGGTTAAAAGGTGTATAAAATATAAAATAGTGAATTATAACTGAACTCAGAAGCTAACTTGTATTACGTAATTCTGTGATTACAAAGAAACTACCCGAACGGTCTGTCGGTATGAGTTCAAATACAAGAACAAGAGAGATGATTTTATTGCTAAGCTCTGAGTATTAAATTGCTAACCGTTTACAATGTATTAAAAGCAGGTATTTATACTAGAAGGGGGGGTAGGTGAGATGGACATGTGGCCGAACCAGGTAGGTTGTTACCTCTGCCTGCCACGAGTGCACTCATGCCTCTACTTGCTACCGCCATACTTTAGCGTTCACTGCAGTTTGCCACTTGCTGATCCCCCGGTCGGGTACCCCGTTCGGAGTGCGGGACCCCTTTGTGGGTGTTTTGATGTCAGTTCCCTGTTAATTAGTTCAAGTGGATAATTCTACTCGAATGTTGTTCAGGTATCCCCTGTTCAGGACGTCTTGGACCTCTCTGATTGCGTTGGGCTTCCTGTTTGCCCTGGGCCTTCTTTATGCTTTGGGTCGGGCATATTGGGCTTGAGCCCAATACCCCAACACTTTGTATTAAGTGTTTGATGAAATGCCACACTCATGTCATTTAGAGCTTTGTAGAAACTGAAACCAGATCTTGAGTAATAGTGAAGTCTGTTTTATTTAACTTGACCCACTTACCATGTGATGATAAATTTTTCAAGAAGTAAATTTAGTTTGTAATGAGGTTCTTACTAATATTGAAAGTGTTTTACAAGTGTCATTGAAAAAGCTAAGTGATTGGTGAAAGGTAATGCTAAATCTGTTTTTCTTCTTGTGTAGATGGCTGCAATAGATCGAGTAACCTTGATATTCTGGCATGGAGGGTTGTTTATGAAGAAAAATGATAAATTACTTTATTTGAATGGTGAGTGTAAGTCTTTTGAAGTTGATCCTGATGAACTGTGTTGGTTTTGGTTGGAGGAGTTGGCAAAGACGTGTGGAAGTTACCCAAGCATTGAAGAAATATATTATTTGGTTCGTGGTCTCCCCTTGGATAACAGGTTAAGGAGAGTATATAATGATAGATAGGTACTACATGTTACGATTTAAACACACACAATACGAAGAATGATAAGAAAGAACACAAGAGTTTGGTAACTCAGTTCGCCAAGAATGACTACGTCTGGGGGCGCTACCAAGTCAGGATGTTACTATTATTTTCTGATAATGATTACATTGAGAGAGCGGGTATTAAAAGAGAGTATAACCCTAACCCCAGTAGTTGGATCGGTGGAATGGGCTTGGTTATACAGTCTCTAACACCTTACAATCTCCCACCTTGTGACTGACTTCTCATGTAACCTTCTCTTCTTCAAATCTTCCCCTCTTAATGTGGTAGCGCCAGGCCTTCATATTCAAGTACAAAGCCATAGCTTCAATTTCTCTAAGGTTACAACCTTAGTAAACATGTCTCCTGGATTCTCACTCCCACGAATCTTCACAAGTTGTAATGTCTCTATCTCCAGAAGATGACGGATGTAGTGATACTTCAACCGAATGTGTTTGGTTCTCTTGTGAAATGCTGAGTTGTTTGCCAAGAAGATATCACTCTGACTGTCACTGTAAAGTATGATATTCTTGTACTCCTTTCCAAGTTCCCCAAGTAAATTCTGAAGCAATTCCATCTCCTTGCTTGCCTCGGTTATAGTCACATATTCAACTTCAGTGGTAGATAATGCGACAAGCTTCTGCAACTGCAAAATCCAGGAGACCGTTGTACCACCAAATGCAAAAACATAGCCGGTGGTGCTCCTCGATCCATCTGAGTCATTTGATGCCAAGTCTGCATCAACATGACCTAGCAACTCCACATTCTTTCCATCAAAACACAAGGCATTAGAAACAATACCTTTCAAATACCTCAAGATCCACTTCACAGCTTCCCAATGTTGTTTCCCTGGATCTCCCATGAATCTGCTCACTACTCCCACCGCATGTGCAATGTCTGGCCTCGTGCACACCATAGGGTACATAATACTGCCAATTGCCGAGGCATATGAGATATTCTGCATTTGAGCACGCTCCTCCTTGTTCTTTGACGAGTCTTCCTTGCTAAGCTTGAAGTAACTACCCAATGGTACACTTGCTGGCTTTGCATCTTGCATTTTGAATCTCTCCAAGACTTTCTGAATGTATTCGGCTTGTGAAAGAAACAGTTTGCCTGCTGCCTCATCTCTCTCAATTCGCATGCCCAAAATCTATTTCGCCTCTCCAAGATCTTACGTGAAAAAACGTTCTGACAATTGATTCTTTAACTTCTCAATTTCCTTTGAACTAGCTCCTGCAATTAACATATCATCAACATATAACAACAAGATAAGCTAACATTTGTCAGCCCTCTTGTAGTAGCAACAATTGTCGGTGTGGCATCTCAAGAAATTTATTTCCTGCATGAAACCTGATGGTCCCGGATAGAGGTAAAAGTTTAGAGGAAGGAGGGGGTGAATAGACTTTTAAAGCTTTCACAACCTTAAAAAAAATTCCCTTCTAGATAAGATGATCTATAATCTTTTGGGAGATTATAGATGCATAGCGGAAGTCTTAACCTCTATATATACAGTGTATGACAACTTTCTAATAATAGTAAGTTTCCTTTAGGAAAGGAAAATGAACAAATGAGTTTGTAAGATTATCAGAAAGGTTAAGTAAGGAGAGCAGTTGACTGGACAAGGGAGTAGGCAGTAGGAAGCTGCTAACTTAGCTGCTCAGGAATATTGAAAGTATTCGAAAAACTGATTTTGGAATCTTACTGAGAATAATAAGAGCTTTCTGAAAATGTATTGAGCTGTGTTGAAGTTGAAGGTTTTGGTGAGCAGTGAATTGAGCAGTAGTGTAACACTGTCCCCAAATGTATTTACTTTTACGTAAATGATGTAAGGAACCTTATGGAATGATTGATGAATTTACGAAGTTGTAAGTTTTTATATTTCTTTCGCGTGAATAGTAAATTGCACGTGGGACCCACATCGGGAGCGGGGACCACCCAACATTCCCGAGACCACATATTTTATTCATCTTGGTCAAGATAATATTTATATGGTGGTGGATATTTTACTTGGGTCGTGGAAAGGCCCTGTGTTGGCCGATTGGGCAAAAGAGGCCCAAATACCGGTATCGACAATTTAACAGATAACAGCCCGGAAATGATTTTCGGAGACTTCTAAATTAATGTTTTGGAATATATATTATTTCAAGAGGCCATTACGATTTGGAACACACAATATATTTTATTCGACCCGATAAAATAAAATATATTTTAAACAGTCCGAAAAATACAACTTTTGGGACCGATTGTACACACCGGGACACAAAGGGATGACCTCCCACATGAGTGGGGGCCACCCCACGTTTTTATGTGCTGAACACATCAAGGGAGGGCTGGGTTGACAAAGGGAAATGGGGAGGAGATGCATTTGGCATCAAATGTACAATTGGGAGGACCCATCTCAACATTATTTTGAGAGAAAAGCCAAAGAGGCTATCTCCTCACTCACCCACCCCATCATTTTCGGCCAGCCTCCTCCCAGCAAGAGCAAGAGTGATTCCCAGCCTCCCTCCTCCATTGTTGAAGAGAACTCATCAAGGAAGAATCACCCAAAAAGGAGCTAAAGTGCTAAAAGTGTGAAATAATTAAGGTAATGACCTTATTATAACTTCTTCTTTATTTTTCTTCTACCATATGAGATATATATCATGTGAAGAATCCTTAAGAGGGTTCTACATGTTATAAGTATGGATGTATGGGTTGAAAGGTGGTTCCACGTCCAAGAACGGACTTAGGAGCCAAAACGACCGGTTCACCGGAAAATAACCTTTTAGAGGTTATTTGTATTAATATGGGTTTTATGGTTATAAAACCTTGTTAGGAACTTGTAGAGGGTATTTCAAGTGATTTCACAAAGTTGGAAAAGTCGCCGGAGTTGTCGCCGGAGTTGACCAAAAGTCGCCGGAGTTTCACCGGAGTTCAACCAAGAAGGGTAGAACTTCATAACGCTAGTTTCAAGGTGAGTGGACGGCTTAATATCTTATAACTTTTGGGTTAATTATGAGATTACCTAAATAAATGTTATATGAGTTCATAATGATGTTTAAAAGATATTTAAACATGTGATTAGCCAATAGGGTTAAGTTTGTATGAAAGAAATTAATTGTTGGTGCATGGAATATGATATGAAGAATTATATGAAATGCATATTTGTTTGAAGTGTATTAGAAGCACAAATGAATATTATTAACTTAATTATATGATGATTAAGTTGATACATACAAGGCATGAAATGGCGGTCAACGAAAACGTTGACCGATGGACAAAGGACTTAATTAATACCGGTTGGTATTAATTATTTATAAATCTATATAAATGCATGGTTTTGCATGGATTGTGATGCATAAGCTTTATGT